GAAAGATCTTTAAACATTACAGCTTTAATCTAAGTGGGCTTTACTCAGCTCCAAACGGCAGGTAGATGGAACCTGGATATGATAATGTGGACGTTTATATCAGTGATGTCAGTCATGATTTCAGGATTGCCACACGGTAAAGCATTGCTTTACTTCAGAAACCTTTTCTCGTGCTTTCTTATAAGCGCTCTTATCCATTTTTAAACCTCTATACAAATCTTTTCTTTTCCTGGATTCCTCTTTAATCCCCTTTCTTGTACTACAGCCTACCGGTCCATTCTCCTCCTCCTTTATTCTCCCACTGCGGCAGTTAACCTCACATAAGACACTAATCCAAAGATCAGGATTAACAGAGGAGAAGCACAGGAAGCACATATTCCCCTGTACAATTGTATGTGTTAGCATGCGGAGCAAGAGTTGGGAAAAAAAGGAAAAACGAACAAAAAGGGGTCAGTGGTGTTCACGTGTGCACTCATGAATGAAGAGGATTCACTGGAGAGGATTTTCACACAAACTGACCCAGAAACATGAATGTGAAGAGAAATGCTGTGCGTGGGTGAAGCTTGTCATGTTGGCTGGATGACTCATCCAAAATTTGGGATGTGGAGCGGGAATTTTGCATAATTCCAATTAAGAAATTCACCTGAAATTCTTTTCAGGCAATATGAAACGATCCATTTAGTGAACTGAACTGACCGTCAGACAGGAAGTGCAATGGGTTTAGAGCGCTCTGATGTTGGTCGCTGTGCTGCAGTTAACGATACCCTGACATATCTTTTCAGTGCACAAGCAGCGAGCGGCTACATGTTGACTCTGAGATCAAATGTTTCTCTGTGGATTCAGACCAGACTCAAGGCTTCCTGATTATTTTCCCCCACAGCGACTGAACCTGAAGTCTGTAATAAGCAATGAATGTCAGATAAAGAGTTTTAAAAACACATCAGAACAGGATTCTTAGAGCTAGTTTTATCTTTTTATCTTTTAAAATCTAAAAGTTTAATTGGCACATTCTGATCTGTTTTACTCTAGATGACCACATCCCGTTTTGTTCCTTACCTTTGACTTAACCACCATATTCCCTCATCACCTGTCTGTCCAGGTGAGCCCCGGGCTCCAGACTGAGTGCTAGCCATGCTGCAGCAGATCGAGCCATCGTCCAGCACCCTGCAGCTGGTTGCCAGTGATATGAGCGACATCATGGACAATCTGGACACCCGCGATCTTGATTTAGGCGATGGAGATTATGACACGACAGACAACAACGCACCTGGTACCTGCCATCACTTTGCACTCTGTACAGGTGTTTCTCTACTTGTTGTGTAAGCGATTTGTTTGTGTAACTGTTTATATTTTTTTCAATAGCAGAGGGTTTGCCTTTTAAAGAGATTTACAACACAGTGGCTTTCAAGGAGACGGAGGCCAAAGTCTACCTTTCCTCTCCCATCACTGTCAAAATCCTGGAGGTGGAGCGTTTCACCTCAGCTCAGGACCGCTTCAACCTCACCTCGCAGAGGAGCGTCAACAAGGTGAAGAGCTTTTTGTCACTGTAGGGGAAAAAATGCATTTAGCCATACACTATACATGAAACATGGAGGTAGCCATGTGACGTCACAGTTTGAGCCAGAAGGGACTATATTTGTAGAAGAGGATGGGGTGCTAAGTTGCAGCTAGATGGTTAGCAAGCTGCATCTGTATATTGTATGGATGCAACACAGACAAAGGCTGTATCCCAATTCAGGGTCTGCAGCCTTAAAGGCCGCATTTTAAGGCCGATTACGTCACCGCGACGCGACGAAGGCTGTCCCAATTCGAAGGCTGCTCGAAATGCGGCCTTCAAATGCGTCCTTCATTTCCCTGAATTTTAAGGACGTGGCGGTGTAGACTTCGTGGCCCAACATATCCCAGAATGCATAGCGCGGCGGTGGGTGTGGATAATTTTGCCGATAAAAACGGCGGATGAGGGGCGCCCGAAGAGTAAACTTTTAGTAAGTACTGAATATTATGTCACTTATTTATGTGCAAATGTTTAATAACGAAGAACATTAAAACATTACTGTTGGCCACATGTCAGCAAAGTTATGTGACATTAGTGACGTTTGTACTAACTTGGTTTTAAAGCCTTTACTTTAAAATATACGCCGTTCAATAGCTGAGCTTAATCTTACAGAGAATGATCAAAGCTCATGTAGAAACAAACAAATGAACAAAAGATTTTCTCCTTCATTTCTGTCAAACAAAGCTGTATGAAACGTTTCCAGCTGTTAGATCATGGTTGCTAGGTAACCTGGGCAGCGCAACGGAGGCTAGACCGTCCCATTTCACAAGCCTCGCACTTCCGGCCTTAGCGGTCTTTGAGGATCGTTGAGGCTGCGTACTTTAAGGCTGCAGACCCTGAATTGGGATACAGCCACAGATACCTGCTGATTAGGGCTAAGCAAGAAACGGAGTACCAGAGTTTTGCTTACCAATACTGTAACATAGGTGATGGTTTTTACCTCCCAACAAGGCACAATATTTGTCCATTAAAATGCTCTTAAAAGCACCAGCAGTAAAAATGCACTGAAAAGGTCAATTTTAGTAACTTGATTTAGCTGAGGTTGGGTGTAGCAGCAGCTGAGATGGCATCTACAGCCATGGATAAAGCAGAAAAAGTCATTATTCCAGTGTTTAAGGGAAACCAGGTGACTCGATTACTTAAAGATTCCAACAACGCAGTAAAAGTTGGCAGTTTATCAACCATAAACAAAAGAAATGATGTCAAAATTCTGGACTAAATCCCAAACTTTATTTTAATCCCATTTATTTGATGAGCTTTTTGAAATGATAAACACTGAACGTAAATAACTGGAGGCCCTGCTGTGTGTGCAGTCAATGCCAGCTGTGTATAAAATTGAGATGAAACATGGAGAGTTTACATGGTTGGTGAAGAGGAAGGAGAAGCACTTCATCGATCTCCACAGAGAACTGAGAACATACAAGACCTTCATGAAGATTCCACTTCCACGCAGGTACCTCAGTGCCTCCTGTGCCTACTCACAGTTCATATTTTATCTTCACCGTGCTTTGCAGAGCGTATTTTTCTGCCTTTATTTCCACTGCATGTTCTTGGATTTGAACACACAGCCTTCTAACAAAACTTTATTTTATTCTCTCTCTGCAGTCACACGGTGAAGAGGAACATACCGTTGAGGAGTGAGGTGAGCCAGATCCCAGAACTCCCCAGAGGAGGCGATGGCGAACTGGACAGAGGAGTTTCCAGTCGAAGGGTAAATTGCTCCTGATGGCCGATATTTAATTTTATGGTACCAGATTTATGTACTACGTATATTAAATTGTACTGAATATTTCTCATTGTTTCCTTGATCTAGAAACAACTGGAAGATTACTTGAATACTGTGCTAGCGATGCAGATGTATAGGAACTACCACGCTACGGTAAGGACACAAAAGTTACAAAGTAACTAAATTCTGCTCATTTTCAGCTCCATGTTTTTGTTTTTGGATTCTATCAGAGCCACTTTGCATTATTCACAGTTCCAAATAATCCTTCTTACCTTAAACTTGGCTCCTCAGTTTTAGGTCCAACCCCCTTTAAGCCAACTTCTGATTGGCTACATCTTGCAAACAGGTTTAAGTAAGAAGTGGGCAGGGCTTCTTTATCTAACATGACCGGGTTAAAAAAGAAAGAAAGAAACTGAGTCTGAGCTTCATTTTCAAAAACTTTGGCAATGATTAACC